AGAAGAGCTGATGTTGATGCTTTTAAAGCATTCATGTCGTTGGATGTTTGAGCTGATAAATGGTAGGTCTGAGATCTCTAGATTATTGCAGAGTGCTTGTTCTACATCTAGCCAAGGTTCATCTAAGAGGGTGTGTTTTAGCCATCCTGAGATAAACTGAAGCCTGTTGGCTAAGAAGTAGTGCTGAGTGTGAGCAATAACTAACGGGCTTGTGGGATGACAAATGGGGCTTTGATAGCACTCTGATAAAATGTTTCTTGAAAGTCATGCTAACTGGTGTTGTCTCCTGTGTGGTCGTCAGTGAAAGACAACTTTGAGATTCTGCGGCAGATTCCAGTCAATGAAAAAAAAGGTGATTGGAGCTTCTAAGCCATTCTCTAGAGTTTATTTGTTATATAATTAGCTATTTCTAAATGTAGCACAGGCTGGTATTATCTATGTAACCTTAGTGGTGGTTTATTGAAATTCACAGCACACTGCACAGAAACTCCCGACCCAGGAGACTGCAGGGACAGTATGACTAAGTGGTACTACCAACCCATCGAACGGAAGTGTTTGCGCTTCAACTACGGTGGCTGCGGAGGAAATGATAACAAGTTTGAGAATGAGGAGGCCTGTCAAGACTATTGCCGTGGTGTCACAGGTAGGGTTTTATTTTTATATATTTATAGTACACATAATCCCAGACTTCATATATGATAGTACAATTTCCTATTCATGCCATTTTTATGCTACATGAGTTTAAATGGTTCTTCGTTTTCCTCGGGTTTAGTTTGGGCGCCTTTGTTAGAGGTGACATTTCACACCTGTTCTGATGGAGCAGTCACAATGAACTGTGAACAAGGTGAACTGTAAATGAATTATTTTCCAGTAGGTTTAGCTTCTTTATCAAATAAATTCTACCACGAACCCACAAAAGATAGAAGCCAGCTCCACAGTGGACCTCGCGTTATCTTTTATCTCACCGTTGAGCCTTTGTGGACCATAAAAAGCCCTGATAAACTTCCTGTATATTATTGCCCAGCTGCTGCCAACAACTAGCTAGTGATCATTTGGTGAGGAAAAAGGCCAACTAAATATTGTTTCAGGTGAAAACAACTAAATGCCAACTCTGCTACATGATTGTTGGGTCTGTAAATATGGAACTGTTTGTATAATGACAAACTGGCGTTACCATATGGTCCAAAAAATGTTTATGCATTTATTGCTGGAGGTGATGATAACCAGTACTGAAACCTTGGGCCATGCATTATTGCACATAATTTGAATGCGGCTGAATGAGACTCATGAACCGTATGAATTATAGCCGAGTCGCACGGTGACACACAAATATTAGCTCGTTGCCAGATTAGTAAAAAGATGCTAACATACAGAGAAGCAGTAAAATGTAATTCATTCTGTCTTTACTGTCAAAGTGTTTGGCCAAAGGAAATCTGCAAGTTAATATTAAGTTATTTCCATCATTGCTTCATGCTAAAGAGTAACAGCTTGCTTGGTTTTACTGTTTAGATCAGTGGTGTCAAGCATATGGTCCGGGGGCCAAAATTGGCCCTGTAACGACACCCCTGAGGTTTTTTTGTTTGTTTGTTTGTTTTTACAGCGATTTCACAGTAAAATAAAAATGACATTTTATGTGAACAAGTTTACAGAAAACTATATATTTTTTAATTACAAGACAATCAGGGCAATAAAATATCAGAACTTTACCTGTAATTTCACATCGTTTCGCTGGTCCGGTCTAGCCCACTGAGATCAAAGTGGGCTGTATGTGGCCCATGATTGAAAATGACTGACATCCCTGGTTTAAATGAATGAATTATTGATTGAAATTGATAGTTATTTGTTAGTGTTTATGTGGCATTTGGGGTATTATAAATAGGTTTGGATCTATATGCTCCACACTTCAGAACTCCTTTATTAACTTGTGTTACAATTTCAAGAGTTTACCAACAATTTCCAACTTCAGCAGTGGTTTTACACCTGCTCTTTCCTCTAAAAGATTGTTTTTAATATTAAAGGAACTTTTTTTATTTTTTTTAATGACATACCGCTTTTTGTTTTTCAGAAAATGATGTATATTTAAGAGAAAGACAAGAGAGCGAAACCAGTGAGAGTGACAGCCAAACAGGTATATTACCCTTTATTTTTATTTAAGCCTGTACCAAAGGAAAATAATTTCTTGCCTGTTGAGGTTTAAATACCCATCCTACCACTTTTACATCAAGAGCATTACTCCTCACCCTCTTTTCAAGCTCAGATCTTATATGACCAAAAATGTAATGCTGTAATTGTCTGTAATTGTAATGCTTATTTTAATTCATTTTAACAGCCATTTTAGCGTTAGCTATCGTGTTGGGTGTGGCTATTGCCATCGTTCTAGCCATCCTGGTGTACCACTTCCTAAAGGGAAGGAAGTCCCAGCACCGTCGTCTGCCTGCCAGTAATGCAACGTACACCACGATGGAGCCGAGCAGAGACGCTCTGGTCTACAATAGCACCACCAAACCCATCTGATCGATGAGAAAAGAAAGGCTGGTGTTTGGTTAAGGTTGCGAGTTGGAGATGTATGTGTTTAAAGGTAATGTACAGCCAAGGATGTCTTGGACGTCATCAGTGATGAAATGTGAGGTTTCATTTGATTTTTTTTTTTTTTTGAGTTGTTGGATAGCAGTTTGTGCAGGCTGATAGGAAAGTACTTTTAATTCTTTGAAAGTAGATTTCCACAGGACATGATCAATTTTAACCATACCCACCCCCCCAAAAAAGGTTCTCTACATGTTCATCGTTGCATTAAATTATGTTATAGCTCCGTGGGGACAGTTGAATTACTAAAGTCTACATTCTTATCAGGCCCAAACTGGCCTCTTTCTACAAAGTAATGTTCTTGATTTTGTTTTGTTTTTTTACAACTGAAATCTGGGAAATTTGGCGGTTATGTAATGTCAGTGATGTTTTAACGCCACTGACATTACATAACTGCCACTGCGGTTGCTTTAATGCCGCCTTCTTTACTCTGTCCAATTTTCTTTGTATTGTGTTTTACAAACTATTGTTACATACTCCCATGGATTTCATATGAATAGTTAATGCTATAAATATTCTTAGAATTTCAGAAGGTAACGCTTTACCCTGAAGTTTCTGGGTTGATCATTTTTAAATATTTGTTTTTAGAACAAGCATCATATTATCAATTCCTTATTCACACTTTAATAAATACACTTGCAGTTAATTATTCAGCATAAAATGTACATATTTGCTGGATCGTGATGTTCTTCCTTAATAAAAATATTAACTCACTTTTATTTGAGAAATCTTTGTCATGCAAAACACATCGGCTGTCTCGTTTGAACACGTTTCAGTTTTCATTTAGTCAGCTCTTGCAACACTGTCTTGTGTAATGTGCCGCACGCTTTGATTTGGGGGTTTTTTGTTAGTGAAATTAGTATTTCAGACTTCAGACGCTGCTGCCTGTCTGTGCATGTGCAGCTGGGATGATTAATAAATTAGATTTTTGATTTTTTTTTAATATACTTTATGATTGGATCTTTTATTGGTTTTTATAGATTTACCATGTTGCTTATCTGGGCTCTGCGTGTGTATCTTCAGGTATGTGTTTGTGGTAATACACACTAGCTTTCTAAGACACCCTTGGAGAGCATGACACACTTCCTGGTGACTGTGTGTGGAGTTATTTGTTAAATAAGTTAATAAGTATAAAGTCACAGGTAATACAGTTTATAAACCTTATAAAAGTACCTGAGTTGTTGAAATCTGTACAGTAATATCACAATGTAGCCTAGACTGTAGACATTTTGAAGAGCATTAAATATGCTTTTGCTGTTTTGGGTTTAGGTGCAAATGTATTTTTGTTGTGTTTGGTTACTTGTCTGGTCTATACTTTGCACGACTTGGCTCACATTAGCAATGATTGAGGCTGAAATGAGTCAAACCACTTCGGCTAACGTCTGTTGAAGCAGTTTCAGAAAATGAACCACATCCTGTCAACTTCACTGGCATGATGCAACACTTTCTCCACACTTTAACAACATAAAGTGTGATATAATGGCACATCGGGAAACTAATGACATGGGTTCAACATTTTACCAACGTCATTCCAAAATGGATTCTATTCATTTTTCACCTCTTCAATGCACAACACACCAAAATGGAAAGAAAAAAATGCTAGAAATTCTTGCTAATTTATTAAAAATAACAAACCAAAAATAAAACATGTAAATGAGTATTCACAGCACACAGATACGCTTGTAAAGTTCTGGATAGGAAGTCATATTAATATGATTATTGTCATTTATTTACAAGATATAAAATTTTAATTCCTGATAACCTAATTTTGTGTTCAGATATAGGGTTAGCACATACGGCTATGCAAAGTGGAGGTGGTTTATCTTTCTGCTGACCTCTGCTGGCTTCTAGGTGATCTGCTAGTTGAAAGAAGAAGTGCTGAGACCTGTGAGGTGAGAGCAATGAGATCTAAGTGATCATGTCAGTTTATTTCAAATAAAATGTTAAAATCTCTTACACCGGCAAATTTGTATTATACTGTTTTTAAACAACGCATCATAGGCAATTTATATACTGACTAGGGTGACCAGTTGTCTGTCTTTATGAAGGACTGCAGAGCATTTTTATAAAAATAAGGCTTTTATTGCCCAACAGGGAAACTTGTAACTCACCATAAAGTCACAGGCTCTGCAAATTTCTGTGAATAGGATCAAAACCATCACAAAGCAAATTAAGTAAGAATATTATTTTCAGTTTTGCACAGTACGGTACGTTGCTGTGCAAAGGTTTTGAACCACCCCTCATTTTGTGATATTTCCCTAGAGAAATGGGAAATAGATGCAGCAATTTGTTGAAATATCCATACATGGAACTATAGTAAGTAACTAAGGGAAAAACAGAGTTTGTACAATTCGTTTGAAAGTGAATATTTGGTATGCCCAACTGTATTATTCAACACAGCGTGAACTGCAACACCACTGGCTGAAATGGAGACTGGGTCAACTGAAGTGCTGGATGCATCTCTCAGGCACCATCAGTAGCACAGGAACAGAGCAGGAGGGAGCGAGAAAGAGAGCCAGGGGCAACAACAAGCGACAACATCGTCACATTACAGGGAGTGCAGAATTATCAGGCAAATGAGTATTTTGTCCACATCATCCTCTTCATGCATGTCGTCTTACTCCAAGCTGTATAGGCTGGAAA